AATCAAAATAACACAATAAAATATAAACAATATTCATTTGAGTATTTCCTTCTTCATAAATGAATGATAAAATAAATTATTTTACATTTAACAAAAACAAAGAAAATAATAATAAAACAAATTTAATGAATAAGAATGAATACTTTCATGACATTTATTATTTCATTAATTCTTAATGTTTTTTTATTTATTTATAATTAACTTATCTTATTTTATTCTTATTTATTAAAAACATCCTCATTGAGTGTGAATATTTCAAATGAAATAAAATAAATCAACATTGAATTATGTCTATTTTTAATTCACCATTTCATTTATTGGCAGATGAACAAAATGTTCATATTCTTTATTGTTTTGTTTTTATTCTTTTTTATTTCATTTTCAATTAATTCAAGATTGAATCATTCCATTTCAATTACTATGATTCGTTTTGGTGTGAAATGATTTGGATATTTTCTCCATAAAGTGCATTTCTTATTCCTTTATAATCGAATGAATCTTGAATACAACGTGATAGTGTTTTATCATTTTCTTTAAAAACATCAATGTCCAATCCATTTCCAAATGAAAATAACCAATCATCTGATTGATTATATAAATAAAATGAATATTGTTGTTCTTTAATATCAAATTTCATCATTCTTTTTATTCTTCAATTTGAATCTAATGAAAATACAAATGAGTTTGAGTCATATATAAAACCACCAATTTTATCAATTTTCTCATTAACATATCCTCCATTTTTATTTCCTTCTGAATCTTCAATAATAATTATTATATGTTTTTTATTCAATATTCTTTGATCAAATATTGATGTATTTTTATTCCAATTATCAATATTTGAATCAAATAGTATATTTGATATTCTTTTTTCTGTCAATTCTTCTATTTGTTTGATTATTTCTTTTGTTTTGTCTTTTGATTTGTTATTTGATGTTGATTGTGTTATTCCCATTTTTGTTGTTTTTAAGTTTTTCTGTTTATTATTTTGTTACATTTAATATGGAAAATGATGAATGATACGAAACATCATACAAATAATATAAAAATAAATAACAAAAGAATGAGAAATTTACATCAATAAAAAATATAAATAATAGAAAAATGAATGAAAATGGATATTATTTATATTAAAATAACAATTACATGATATGATTTATTTCATTCGTCATTTCATTCATTTTCATCATTATTATTTTATCATTAATTCAAATAGAAATAAACAATAATATCATAATAAAAACAAAGAAGATACAAACAATATCAAAATAAAGAATAAATCAAATAAGAAATAAATGAAATGATAGAAATAGTGAATATAATTCAATTAAATGAAAATAAATAAATTAATAATGAATGAATTAAAATAAAATAGAGAAATAAGATTATAATGAAATATTTCATTTAATATCATTAATAATTTAATATAAAATAAATTAATATGAATATTATATGTATTAAATTTACAATTAAAGTCAAATATGATATTATATTCATTTATATTAATAAATATGAATTATATAATGTTTTATATAACAAATAATTAAAATAAATTAAAAAAATGAAAATTCTTAATTTGAAGTGATTGAAATAAAGAAAGATAGAAATAAATACATTACATTCACTGATTTGTTCATTTCTTTATTATTCATATTATCAAATTATTGTTATATTTATTAATTGAATATTTATCATTTGTAATATTTCATTTCTATGATATTTATTCATTTTCATATTCATCAAATAAATAATAAATGATGTTTTATTGAGGTATAAATTATTTGTTATTAATAATTTATATTAAAAAATAAAAAAAAGAAAAATTGAATGACGGTTATCTTAAAAATAAAAGAAGTTCAAACTAAAAATAAAAGAAGAACTAATAAATAATCAAAAATAATAAAGAAAGAATGCAACTTGGATATAATGAAATAATGATTGTCTCGAAGTATTTTGAAGATATTAATGATTTTATTAATTTAGAAATGGGAGTTAAAAGATTTCAAGGAAATATGGAACGATTTCATTTTAATCCAATTCCATTGAATCAATATTCCAGAAAATTGTTTCCTAATATTGAAACATTTCATATTTATAATGAAGAAGATAAAATATTTAAAGAAGGAAGAATATTTAAATATGTAATATGGTATGATGTGAGTTATTCAAAATATTTAGAAGAGAAAGAAGAAATGAATGAATATAAAAATATTGAATATACAAAATATGATAGAAAGAAATATGGAAATACAATACCAATAGAAGTTAATTCACTTGGAATTAATTGTTTTTATGAATGTACATCATTACAAACAATTAATATACCAACAAGTGTAATTGAAATAGGAGATTGGTGTTTTTATAAATGTTCATCATTAATATCAATTAATATACCATCATCAATTACGTCATTTGGA